TAGCCTAGAAGGTACTGTAGCTCTCCGGAACTCGCGGCCACGCTCCCGCCCCAGCTTCCAGATGCTAACATTGCAGTTCGCGCTGGGCCAGGCTTGGGAGTTTGTTTTGTTGGCTTTTTTTCCCCTCTTGACTGGCTCTTGTAGTCCAGGCTTGCCTCGAACTCATCCTCTTGCCTCCACCTCCCACGTACTGGAATTACAACGAGCTATCATGCCTGGGTTGGGTATCTTTTTATTTGCACAGCTTTTAAAGGAATAAACTTTTTTTTTTTTTAAAAAAAAAACGTTATGTTTATGTATTGGAGGAGGGGCGTGCTATGGCAAGGATGTAGCGGTCAGAGAACAAGTTACATCAGACAGTTCTTTCCTTCCACCGTGTGAGTCTCGGGAATCCAGTTCATTTCACCAGACTCGCAGCCAACCCCTGTGCTCTCTCGGTCCTCAGTAATATTTTGAAGGCGGGTTGTAAAAGTGGCCCCGGCATTCCAAACCTGTCTCTCTCAAGGTCTTCCTCCTTCCCCTCTGGCTAGTCTTCCTTTCTAGCCTTCAGCCTCGGGATTTGGACCTCGAGATAAAGAGAAAGCCTATTATAGGAGACGGTGTAGGTCCCCGGGCAAGGTTATGGACTTTTTTCTTCTTTCTTCCTAGCTTCCTAGTTAGACCGGTTTGAGCACTCCCACATCTTAATAAGGTGGAGCCACAGAGCTTTGGAAAACAAACCTCCATGACTAATCCTCGCAGTGTTTATAACTTGTAAGCTGCTTCATGGCTGCCTTAGACCTCTTTTACCTTGTGAATAGTTGCACCATCTCCTCCATTAATCTTTTGCTGTTCTCAGTTGGAATGCCAGGCATTAAGTGAGCCACTGACATTAAACTCCCATTGTCTGCAAATCAGACCAAATTTGCCATGTATCGGTGAGTTAGTGGAGAAAAAATCAGAATTAAAAAATGAATTACTGCAAAGATATTACAGGTTTTGAGTCGGTTGGTATGGTTTTGTAGGTTTCTAGTTCTTTTTTGTTTTGTTTTGTTCTGTAGTTTTTCAAGACTGGGTTTCTCTGTGTAGCCTTGGCTGTCCTGGAACTCACTCTGTAGACCAGGCTGGCCTCAAACTCAGAGATCCATCTGCCTCTGCCTCCCAAGTGCTGGGATTAAAGGTGTGTGCCACCACCACCCAGCTCTAATTGTTTTTTCTTTTAATTACTTTACAGAAAGAAGATTATAAATGTCAGAGCCATTTAACCGATGGTTTAGCTGGTGAATTCTAACACTTCCTCCTTGTGCCAAGCTCTTCATTGGGAAGTTTTCAGAAAAACAGAAGTGTATATCCACATTGGCTATGGCTATACCAATAACAGTGCTTGACTGTGATCTCTTGCTGTATGGCAGAGGTCACCGGACCTTGGACCGTTTTAAACTAGATGATGTGACTGATGAATATTTGATGTCCATGTATGGATTTCCCCGACAATTCATTTACTACTTAGTGGAACTCTTGGGGGCAAGTCTTTCCCGACCTACTCAGCGATCTAGGGCTATTAGCCCAGAGACACAGATCCTGGCGGCGTTGGGCTTTTATACCTCAGGTTCCTTCCAGACTCGGATGGGAGATGCAATTGGAATTAGTCAAGCCTCTATGAGCCGATGTGTTGCCAATGTCACTGAAGCCCTTGTGGAGAGGGCCTCACAGTTGATTCACTTTCCAGCTGACGAAGCTGCAGTACAGTCTCTAAAGGATGAATTCTATGGGTTGGCAGGGATGCCGGGGGTGATAGGGCTCCTTGACTGTATCCACGTGGCAATCAAGGCACCAAATGCTGAAGACCTCTCTTACGTGAACCGCAAGGGCCTGCACTCTTTGAACTGCCTGGTGGTGTGTGACATCAGAGGGGCACTAATGACTGTGGAGACAAGCTGGCCAGGTAGCCTCCAGGACTGTGCCGTCCTACAGCAGTCGTCTCTAAGCAGTCAGTTTGAAACCGGGATGTACAAAGATAGCTGGCTGCTGGGTAAGTTTGCAAGTGTAAGTCTGGAGTTTATACCCACAGGAAAGTGATGCTGTAGAGTGGGTGGAACCTAAGATCCTATGGCCGTCCTCTGTCCTCTCACGTGCTCTGTGAAACCTCAGGTGAGGACTCTCTGAGCCTTCATTGTTTCCTCTCATTATTACTACTTCTTAGAGAAGACTTTTTGAGACAAGGACTCCTTATGTAGCCCTGGCTAGCCTGGAAGTTGCTGTGTAGACAGGCTGGCGTTGAACTCAGACACTCACTTTCCTTTGCCTGCCATGTGCTGGGATTAAGGTGTATAACACCACATCCTCATAGTTTCTTTTTTGTTTTGTTTTTTCAAGGCGAGGTTTCTCTGTGTAGCTTTGCTCCTTTCAGGAGGAGGAGAGGCAGGAAGATCAGAAGTTCAAGGTGATCCTCGGCTAAATAGGGAGTTTGAGGCCAGCTTGTGATACTTGATCCCCTGTCTCAAAAACTAAACAAGAGGGCTGAAGAGATGGCTCAGAGATTAAGAGCACTTCCTGCTCTTCCAGAGGATCAGAATTCATTTCTCAACACCCACATTGGGTGGACAGCTCACAATTGTCTGTAACTCCAGCTCTGGAGATTGCATGACTTCTTCTGGTCCCAGAAAATACTTGAACCCGCATAGGTACACACTTAAATGCTCAGAACTTGTTAATTAGAGAACAGCCGGTAGGGGCAATAATCGCTAGCATCTGTAAAATGGTGACTAGAAAACCAGGCAATAATGCCTATTGTGAGGACTGGGTAATACATTTCCAAGTTTACTCTGTTTTGTTTTTTGTTTTTTTTTTTTCCAGACAGGGTTTCTCTGTGTAGCTTTGCGCCTTTCCTGGAACTTGCTTTGGAGAGCAGGCTGGCCTCGAACTCACAGAGATCCGCCTGCCTCTGCCTCCCGAGTGCTGGGACTAAAGGCGTGTGCCACCACCGCCCGGCCCAAGTTTACTCTGTAGTAGCAACAAAGTACACATGTGAAATACTGCTGCTGTTGGTGACTGTTGCCGTGGTATCTACATGAAAATGATAGTAGACAGCTCACAGGCATGTTTGTGTGGCTGACACGGTGTCATTTGGAGCCCTCTTGCCTCTGTCCTCCAGTGCCACTGTATCCAGCTAACATTTTAAAAAGTGTTTTTTTCCAAGACACAGGATTTCTCTGTGTAACCCTGGCTGTCCTGCAACTCGATTCGTAGACTAGGCTAGCCTCTAACTCACAGAGATCTTCTGCCTCTGCTTCCCAAGTGCTGGGATCAGAGGCGTGTACCACCACTACCCAGCTAAATTTTTTTAATCACATTTATTTATTTAGTATGGGACAGGGGCATGACTGCCGTGGCAATGTATAGAGGTCAGAGGACAATTTGCCGGAACCAGTTCTCTTCTTCCACCATGTGGGTTCCAGGGATTGAGCTCAAGTCTTCAGGATTGGTGGCAAGTGCCTTTACAGGATAAATCATCTTGCCACCCCCCCATTTTTGGGGGGAGGGGGCATGGTCTCATGTAGCCACAGCAGCTCAGGCTGGCTGAGGTAGAATTTTTATTATAAGAACTTGCTTCTTGGGGCTGGAGAGATGGCTCAGTGGTTAAGAGCACTGCTGCCCTTCCAGAGGACCTGGGTTCAGTTCCCAGCACCCACATGTGGCTCACAACTGTCTTCTGTAACTCCTGTTGGAGGGGATCTGAGGATCTGACACCCTCTTATAGATATACATGAAGGCAAAACACCAATGTACATAAAACAAAAAAATAAATTAATTAAAAAACAAAAAACTTGCTTCTTGCCAGGCAGTGGTGGCTCACACCTTTTAGTCCTAGCACTAGGGAGGCAGAGGCAGGTGGATCTCTGTGAGTTCCAGGACAGCCAGGACTACACAGAGAAACCCTGTCTCAAAACCAAAACAAAATAACAACAGCAAAAGAAATTGCTTCTCCATTCTGCTCATATCTGCTGAGTCTTATTTAAAAGGCTGACTCAATGATCTGAGTGGGACAAGAATTCATTCGTCATCAAGCGGTGTAAACCAAAGTGACTGTTCAGCTGTGAAGAATACTGTTAGTAACAAGGAAACCCTTGAGCCTGGAAGCTGTATCCATTTGAGCTTTACTCTTTTTATTTATTTTATTTTTATTTTATCTGTATGGGTGTTTTGTATGTCTGTGCACCTTGTGTGTGCCTGGTGCCTGGAGAGACCAGAAGACAGTGTTGGATAGTCTGGAACTGGAGTTACAGATGGTTGTGAGCAGCCATGCTGGGGACTGAACTCAGGTCATCTAGAAGAGCAGCCAGTGCTCTTTACTAAGCTGTCTCTTTAGCTCCTTAAGCCTTACCCTTAGATAAGCAACAGGACAAAGGTTATCTTATGCACAACATCTTAGGTTTTGTTTGTTTGTTTGGGTTTTTCCAGACAGGGTTTCTCCCTGTAACCCTGGCTGTCTAGGATCTCACTCTGTAGGCCAGGCTGGCCTTGAACTCACAGAGATTCGCCTGCCTCTGCCTCCTGAGTGCTGGGATTAAAGGCGTGCGCCACCATGCCCAGCACGATGTGTTGTGTTTAGGGTGGAATTAGAGGTGAGCATGGTGGCTCCTGCCTGTAGTGTCAACTAGTGCAGAGATTGAGGCAGAAGGGA